TTCTCTGACTTGGATTACATATAAGATATGAATGCTACTAAAATAATAAACCGATAAAAAGCCCCTTTCAATAAAGTTATATGTATTTCCAATTGATAAAAGAAAACCTTCAACACTCGCAACTTTGTGTCTATTGAAATTTATCATCATATATATTTGCGCTTCGATTAAATTAACCAGGCGCTAAGTAATAAAATAAATGTTTGCATAGTATTTTGGACCTCTTGTTAAAATTGATCTAATTTTAATTCCAAGCACGCATGATAAATTACCAAGAACTAATCTGTTAAGACCGTGGAGAATTTTAATAGTTGAACTGTTAGCCTTTATGACTCATTGCAATAAATAGATAAACTATATTGGTTTTGTTTTCTCAATAAAACGATTTATTGATTCCATCTGCCTCCAATTGAAGATAGATATATGAAATTACATCCCACATAAGTTTCCTTTTGTTTGGTCTACAATTAATTGCTTCAGTTTAAATATTTAAACAATACCGAAAAAAAATTAAAAGTTTTATCATTGCATTATTATTGAACAAACTTGTGTTTGGTCTTCTTAAATTCAATATTGATATCGTATATTATGTTATTAAGTTTGACCGTGTGCAAAAATTTAGTTTTAAAAACATAGATAGAAAGTTCGAAGATAAATATTATATTTGAACAGGAAAGTGCTAGGTTTGGTTGATGTATATTATTCTGATGTATAATATTATCAACTTATCATTTTTATAAGCAGATAATGAAATACTGGTTTTATTGAAGAATATGACACTTGTGGCCATATTAATATGGATGTTTATATATTTATTTATTTAAAAGTTTCTCATTTATTATAGATTTAACTACTCATTATAACATTACCTTATAATTTTGCAACTATCCTCCGTTTTATTTCTGATGCTCGTCAGTTCATTGAAAAACTAATAAACGATCTCGTGCCAATAAAACATGAAATAAAAATAGTATCAAATACATTGAATTAAGTGTAAATTTTTTGAAACATGATTTATACATAATAATATCATGTTTATACTATTTTTGTATCTTCAATTCTAATATTATTCCGTATGATTTATTTTTATTACATTGTATGATTTATTTTTATTATAAGATATATGGACTATGGAATTAGTTCAATTGCAAGCTAGTGGTGTGTGCCTTAAGGCAAATTGCTGGAACTTTCTTAATGAAATTTTCGAGGAATATTAAATGTTTTCAAATAGTTTATTATAATTATTTGAAGTATTATATATAAGTGATGTTTAAAACTTTAGTTAGAATTAGAATTAAATCCGAATTATTTTTCGATATTTTTTTTTTGAAAATTAAAAAAATAAGAACAAATTCTTTCCCCAAAAGCAATCGTTTGTCAGAACACAAGCAGAAAGTTTTTTAAATCATTCAAATCTTGGATGCTTAGTTCTCTCAAAAATCATTGATCGGTTGAAACCAAATCGGTTGATCCAGTGATTTCCAACCTGTGGGGCGCGCCCCCCTGGGGGGGCGTCATACCGTTCCAAGGGGGGCGCGAAACTGTTTCAAAAATATTATTTTTAAATGCTGAGTAAGTGTCAAAAACAAATCAACAAAATACTTAAAGTACTTCTAAGAGTGTTTGAACTCAAAAAAGAAATTGCTATATTTCTTGCTGATAACAAAAGAGACGGAGCAATCTTGTTTTAGGACACAAAGTTCCTTGCAAAATTTGCCTATTTGCGTATTTAGTTGATATTTTTCAAAGACTTAGCAATTTAATTAAATCAATGCAAGGATCTCAAATTCGTGCTTTTGTTCAGAAAGACAAGATTACGGCTTTAATGAAAAAATTAGAACTGAATATAGCTAGTATCAAATAACTTTATAACTTTAACATGTTTCCCACTTTTAAAATTACTTGTGTTACTGATGAAATAGAAGTAAGTAAAGATCTTATTATTATATCAAATCATATGACTAGTCTACGAAACCAATTTTCGCATTACTTTGATGATTTTCGTCATTCAACAGCAGAGCAGAAAATGATAATTGATTTATCTAGTGATAGCACATTGAAGCAGATGTTTCAGGACGAAAATATATTGTTGAGTTTTGGTTACCAGCAAAGGACGATTTTCCTACTTTGACAAATAATGCTTTAGACATTTTATTACCATTTGTGAGATCTTACTTATGTGAAACAGAAAATTCTTATAATGTTTGTATGTATATTTTTTATAATACAGTGTATTATTTGGCATAATTTCAGTTATATTAAATATATTTAAATTAAATTGTTAGAAAATCAAGAAGGGGAGGGGGGCGCAATATTTTTTTCATGCGAAAGGGGGGCGCAAGGAAGAAAAGGTTGGAAACCGCTGGGTTGATCGGTTCTCTTAAAAACTAACATTTGGCACTTTTTGCTTCATGTCTCCGAAGCCGCTAGACCTGCCTTTGCCAAAAACTAATCAGCATATCTCCCTATCAAGAGGAATCGATTGCTTTTTGAATTTTTCTAATCGGCTTATCCATACGCCTGAAATGGTCGACGAAAAATTGTCTCCACACATACACATACACATTCATTTTTTCTAAATTATGCCAAAATGTTCAAAACCTCTAAAACGTGAAACATTTTCATTTTCAATTTTTGGGACATTACTATAACTTACCCCACGGGAAGTTAATTAATTAATATGGGACCATTCAAAATACAGTTTAAAAATGGAAATGAATTTTGTAATATAATAATATGCGATTTAAATAATTATATTAGTCAGTAATAGAACATTTATGAAGATGTAAGATAATATAGATTAAAACTTATTTCTAAAATTTAATTTGCAATACTAGACTCTCTATGGCGTGAATTCTAAATTATTATTCTTTCTTCTATTCTATTTTTTTTCTCTTTTTTCATATAACAATAGCTTATAATGATTCTTAATTGCTATTTTAAGGAAATGAAAGAAAATGTAATAGAGTAGGTATATAGAATACGGTATATTTAAGTACGAGTCATATGATAGGATTTAAAACATACATATTCACCTTTATTACAATCTATCGAACTATATTCTACATTTATCATATGACTCGTTCATTTTCTTGGAACATTATTAAATAGGTCTGTTACCCGAGTAAATTCTGCGAAATCTCTATATGGGATGTGCAGATACATACACTGGATCCATGTCTAAACCTAATTGTAAGAACAGTGTCTGACACTTATTAAACAAAGCCCGTGACCCATTGTCGCATTGACTAATTTAAATTTCTCTTGACCCACTAATACGATATCACGATAAAGAATAGAAGTGTTTTATTGACAGAGGTCAAGTCCTTCTATTAATATTATTGACATTATCGCTCAGGAATGCATATATTGACTTACATGTAAAGACCTTTATCAATTTGTGTGATTGATAGATTACAAATAGGCTTCTGGATTATGCGATTTATATAATAAACTTAGATTTGTTTTGTATTTATTTAAAAGTAATCAGAAGTAAACGAATTCTATAAGGGGGCGCTCATTAATCACGTGAAGGGGAGGGGGAGATTGACAAAAAATTACGAAATGGCACTTGGGGGAAGGAGGGGTATAATCACGTGCATTTATTTTTTACGTTTGAAAAAAATTCAAACATTTTCAAAAAGTTCAACAATCTTTCTCGCAACTAAAAAGCACGTGATGTTTAGTGGGGGAAGGGGAGTAATTTTGAATACCACCACGTATCACCAAGGGGCAAGGGGTGTCCAAAAATCCTTAAAAAATCGATCACGTGATTAATGGACGCCCTCTAAGTTGTCGTGCTTACTTCTTGTTATTTGTTGTTGGCAACCCAATAAAATAGGGTAGGTTGTCCTATCTCAAAGTATTTTCTTACAATTTTTGTAATAGTAATGATTATTTTTATTGATGCAGCAATACCAGGTAAGTGCTATTTTCACTTGGAAATATATTGCTCTCTATATTTTCAAGTACATACCAATGTCACTGCTGCATAATATCTACCTCAGGCCGATATCGAATCTGGACCTTCTAATTCTAAGTCCACAGCTCTAATCATTTCTTTAGGAGCCAATAAACTTATTGTTAGATGAATGTTATCTGAAGCAAGAATACTCTATATTTCTTCATGAATTTTTGGAATTTCTTTCTGTCCTTTGATTTTTTGGTATAGCTTTTAAATATACCATGTCCCAGGTGTATTTAAGAGAATATGATATTAAGTACCATATCCTATTGAACACATAATGAGATTAAGATATTTTTAATAATTTAATATAATAATAATAATAATAACTATGTAGTTTTAAAGAAGAGCATGCGTACCTATTAAAGAAGAACATGCTCTTCTTTATAAGGTTTATGATATTGCAACTCATTGGTCAGTAATTGATCTACATCTACTACTCTTTGATTCAATTTATTACAGATTGTGAGATTAATGTGGTGCATTTAAAGTAAACACGTTTACTAAATTCTTTTCCTATTTTTAAGAAACAATTATCTAATTAAAATGTAGAAACTATGTTAGTATATTATTTACTTAACACAAGATAACATCATTCAAAGTATCGATGTCAAAACAAATGGGAAAAGTGTTATACAAACGCAAGCTTCATGTCGGCAAACAAGAACTATTTGATAAGATGAAATGATAGTAAACAGAATAACATGATACTGATTAATACTTCCGACAATAGAATTAATCTAAATTAAACAGCACATAAACTTATTATATTTGAATATGATGTGGACTTTCAACATTATCATTACTAAATAAATATAAAATACATCATTATAAATTACAAATGATATAAAATGTATCATTAGTTTCGCTAATATATACTCTGTAGTTTTTTTAGTGGCTTAAATAAATTATAATATCGATGCTTATAAATTTAACTCTATTAAATTAATATTTTTCAAAATGTTTTGTATTTAAATTGAGTGTTGATTTAGGATAAAAATGTTCTCAATTATTATATGATCTTTTTTACTTTTAGGCCTCAATGGATTTACCACCAGACAAAGCAAAATTGCTTAAAAACTATGATGATGAGAAGAAGTGGGATATTATCTGTGATCAGGTAATTTTTAATAAATCTTAATATATTCGTATATTTATATTCACTTTATTTTATATATGATATATTATAAAACTATATAGGCAGTGCATTCAAAGCAATAAGTAGATCATGTGAACTTTGAATATTTTAGTAACGAATTTATATAAGAATTTATATAAGTTCAATATATGTCATGTGAACTAGATGCACGACGTACATTAGCAATAAATCAAAGCCTGGGAAAAATAACTCCGGTTAGATATGATACTATTTTCGATATATAAAAACTATTCTTTTTATTAAGTTACATTAATAACTTATGGCCAAATGCTATATGCACTTAGGGGGAAGTTCCCGAGTGACGGACATCTAAGGTTATTTATAAATAAATCAAAAAATATTTTACGAAATGTTTATTAAATTATGACTTATGTTCGATAACAAAGTTAGAAATCAAATTAAATTAACAGAAACGCAACATTTGCTAAAAAATAATTAATACAATCAATCAAACTTTGGTAACAAGAAATATGATTTTACAAAATGGCACCTAGTACCGGACATTTCAAAATAACTAGTATTGAACACATAGGTAGCCATCTCCATACTCTGGAGTGTCTGCACATGTATGTTTGACGAATATTCTTAGATATTGCAAAAAAAAATCACTTTTTATCCACTCTTTTGGCTCGGCCACACTGATGCTCTCAACTGGAGCATTCATGATTTTCATTCTTCGACTAGGAAATACGAAAAATGGGGGTATGTAGTGACCGTTAGCACTCATACAGAACAAAATTAAATAATTAAAATAAATTACGTCAACTCTCACAAGAAATTTCAATATGTTTACTGTCCGGCGCTAAGGGCTCGACTTGGTGTCCTGTACTAAGGGACAAGCATGTTCGTTCATTTGGTAGTGCCTACTAAAATTGTTTAAAATATCTAATAATATTCTACCATTTTACGGATAACAATCAAGTACTACTTTTATCATTCAATGCCACTCAAATATAAATGCATAAATACACTACAATTACTTTCATTAATAATTAGGTGACGCCGTGATTTTGCGCCTAAAACTGCAAAGGGTTGCTCCCGCCGTGGCCGTGTGCGTCACAGATAAGTCTTGACGGGTGATCCTGCACCTGTGTGCTCCCCGCGCCCTTTTCACTTATATTTCGATATAAAAAGATTTATACTCGCTTAAATAATACGTGTTAAATAGAGTGTCCGGTATTAGGTGCTGTCTGGCGTTACGGGACTTCCCCCTACTTATTACACTTATTCCAACATTCATTTTTACTTTGTTTTGCAGTTAGTTCTAGCTACTGATTACAATTGACGTTCACACTTGAAAAATACATTTTTAGAAAATGAGATAGAGGAAAGAAAATGTGTTTAACAAATTAAATTTAAGTTATACAATTATGAATATAACAAGTGTGTTTGAAGGATATCAATTGAAAATTGTATGGATTATTTTTTAGTAATAGCGAAAATTTTATGTTTGAAATAAACAATTGAACATTTTACCTAAATAGTTGAATGACAATTTTGTATAGGTATCGTGAAATCATGCAACTTGCTTTTAGGCAAAATACTAATTACAGCGAGTTAATTATATTTTTATCAGCGATCAGAACTTAACAAGTCCTGGGAATTGTTTTTTTTTGAGAAAACATTGACGAAAGTCAAAAATCGGCTCACATATATACACTTAAACACATACATACATTATTTTTCTAAATTTGTCCTCATTCGAATCACTTCTCCATCGTGAAGTTAATATTTGATTATTACTGGATTTTTGAGTTAATGTTGATAAAATTACTGAAGATTTAAGGACTATTTAACATACATTACAACGTTATACAACTTGATGAATATGTTAGATATAATTTAATAGGCGAACAGCAATCAGAACTTTGTGTTCCATGAACTGTTTCAAAGAAAATTCTTAATCCTTAAAGTTATTAGAGAGAGCAAACAAGTTCACCATCGTCTCTCTGATAAGATTTTTGGATTAATCTAATGTGAATATGTGATATGTAACGCAGGAATGTTTGTAAAGGTTATTTTTACATACTATCACTATTATAATAATCTTAAGTCAAAATGTTATACCAATACAGTTGGTCGAGATGGGTATCGAATCCGGAACCAGTGGTTCCTAGAATAACTTTTTACCACATAAGGGCGGGCGGCTTAGGCTAAGGGAACTTGGTATTTATTTTGAAGAATCTGGTTATAGATTTTTATTTTGGGAAACTAAATGTCTATCCTAATAATAATAATTACACAGAACTAAATATATATTACAAATAGTGATTGATTCAATCTTTCAGAATAAATACTATGCTTCTAACATATATGTAATTCTATACGTAATAACAATTATGTAATTTCATATATTACTTATTCGAAGATGGTACAATTTTCATTATTAAATTAGCTCTTAAGGTTCGTTCATTGAGCATACGTCATCTTCAACACTTCCATTTCATAGAGATGCAAATGTTTAACTTTGTTACATAAAGTTGTGTATAATTATTGTGCAAGCATTAAGCATGCATGCACGCTTTCCATATGTGTTTCAATGTATTTTATTATCAAGCATATTATCGCAATTTCCTGTTTATAATCTTCTTTGAACTCTTTATAGAGTGAGAGCGTATATTGCATATTTGCACATTTTTTCTGGTAAAAGTTAAATACTTTTTAAGTGCTTCACATTTTCTAGTTAAAATTACATATTTATTGAATAATATCTGTATAGAGAATTGTATGAAAAAATCTTGACGTTTATTTATTCAGATATTTTAATAAAATAATCATGCTCCTAATCGTAAGATTAAATTTGAAATGATAAAATACCATTTTTCCTTCCGTGTTTCAGCTATTTCAACTATACAAATTGAACAAATTTTCAAATTAATTTCTATTTTTGTTTAATTAAAATAATATTTAAAATGTTGAGTATTTTATTCGTAATTAGCAGAATACTTTACCACTACGAGTTTTTTCTTTAAAAAAGTCTAATTATAAAAGTTATAAAGTAAAAGTAAAATTTTAAGGCAAAGTGACCACATTTATGAAGATATATTTGATTTTTGTCTTAGTATGCTATAATAATCACAAATAAAATGTTGTGATGTGCGTCCATTAATCACGTGAGCCAAAAAGGGGCTGGGGTGGGTTTGATAAAAAAAAAACACACGAAATATCACGTAAGGGAGAAGAGGGTCCAGTAAAATATCACGTGTATTAATTTTTTATCTCAATTTAAGAAAATTTCTAGGTTCTAAAAATACACGTGATATTGCACGGAGAGGGAGGGTAATTTCAAATATTACCACGTATCAACAAGGGGGAGGGGGGTCCAAAAATACTTAGAAATCGTTAGTGATAAATGGACGCCCCCTTATTAAATTTTTTATTTTTATAAATATTTTAATTACGAAATGTTCAAATTTTCTGTCAAATGTTTTGGTATTCCATTTTATTAAATCAATTTCTAGAGTTCAAATTTATTTTTACTTTGTTAATTGTTGTGGCTCACTCGCAAGGTCTTTGGCCTTGATAACCATCTATCTAAATCTAAATTTGATCTAAAATATGTTTCCAATTGAAAATGCCACTTTTGCAGAATTTGTGAATCAAATTAAAAAATATCAGCATTTGATAAATACTAATAATTAAATTATATCAAATATAGATGTGGCATCCGTTAGGTTGCCTTCTATTTTTTGATTATTTTTATTTTATTTGCCTTTGATTTACATCATTCGGCCATAGGTTGTCTTCTAAAATATGGCATTGTAAAGGAGAAGTTTTACCGTAAAAGCTCTAAGAAGTGTTAATATCTGATTGATATTTCAAAATAAGGAAAATAAAAATTTTATTCAGATGGAAAATTTATAACAAGAATTTGAAGAATTTTTTTGAGTATGCTGCTTACCAATCTCCTGTCTGCCACCATATGAGCGTTTATATTTTTAGTGTGTTTGTGCACACAGAAAAATAAAGAGCAAAAGCAAATCAGCATTCGTACGATATGGTTTTCGATGAGTCACTTCACTACACATCGCTACTTCCAAATGATTTTCCCATAGAAAGGACGGATCTTCTGCCAACAAATTCCATTGGGATTCCCGCAGAAATATGCATTCACAGTTATACCGTGTGGTGCTGCGGCTTTTGCGCACTAAAACTAAAAGTTGTTTTCAGATATTTTTTTTATATAAATATGCTAAGATAATAATTACATTATTATTTCATAGACGTATTTATAAAATTAATAATTTATCTATAATTAACTAAAGTGAAATAAGCCCATGAATTTAGTAATTAGCTAATTAAGAACATTTGCTTTCGATTTTTTTTCAAAATTGTTAAATTGTTATCCGAATAATATATAAACATTACAGAGCTTATTACTTGTGGTATGGATATTACCTCCATCAGAAAAACAAGAGTATATCCATGAGGAAATTATACACATCAAAGATTTAAATTCTATAACATGTTTTTTGTTAGCTTCATGAGCATCATGGCTGGTATTTAATTTACTGATAGGTTAATCATCTATTTAATCAGCCATACAGAAAGGATTTTATTTTCGTTTTATTATAAGTCTGGTTTTTGTTTATCTATTTGGAGGCTAGACTTGTTTCATTGAGACCTTCTAGATTTTTTTACATGAAGTTTATGAATATAAAAAATAATGAAGGTAATATCTTTTTGTTCCGAAAATATGACAAATTTTTATTTAAAGATTATTATTACTTTGAGTTGTACTATAAGCACTGAGTTGTGCAATAGGCTCTGAACTGTAAAATAAGCTTTGATTGGTACAATAAGCTCTGAGTTGTACTATAAGCTCTGAGTTATACTATAAGCTCTGAACTGTAAAATAAGCTTTGATTGGCACCTACAATAAGCTCAGATTGGTACAATGAGCTCTGAGTTGTACTATAAGTCCTGAGTTGTACTATGAGCTCTGAGTTGTACTATGAGCT